CTTACAAGTCAGACGTGCAGTGTCTGTAACAGAAGTCACAAGTGCCTGGCTCAAGATAGCTCCCCGACTGACGGTCGCAATTTCTCCTTTGAAGATTAATCTCTTTCAGTTAAAGGACTGAAGACTCCAATTAAAATGCAATTACCCCCAACAGAGGTAACCAACATCTTTTTCTTGTGAGAGGACAGGTTGCTGAGAGGAAGGCACTAAAGAAATACAGTGTGAAAGCTGGAGGTGGTTTCTTCTGGTATTCCAGAAGCTGGATAATTTTGGAATACTGGATTCTTCTGGAATGCTTCTCCGCTTCCCCAGAGCCACACAGACGGCTAAGAGCCCCTCACTCTTCTGGACCCACACGGGACCTCTGTCTATGCCAGTGGCCTCCAGAGTCAGGTGTCTGCAGTGATCCTTTGGGGTGCAACAGGAAGGTATTGAACGTTTGCTTATAAAATTTCAACCTTTTAAAACTCCCATTTTTGTGTATGCTTTTAAGAGGACATAATATATTCATTTAGAAGCATATGATCATTGATCATTTTTTATCAGTTCTGAGACGCACATTGTTTCGCATTTTAACATCTCTCACATTGGAATACATTTTACAATCTACATACAAAAGCCTGTGTCACAGTTTGATTGGCAGGGATATTTTTCTTTCTTCATGCTATATGTGATGATGTAATGTACAACTGATAGTGTCTTGAATTCTATGAAATATGTATTGAACGTGCTTGCACAACATGTTTTTAACTAATGGGGTTGCAAAACGAAAAGTTTGGAGTCCATCCAGTCTACACAACTCGCTTGTTTCTTATCATACACAGCCTTGAACTAATGAACTCCGCATGTGTGTGTGTGCCTGTGTAGTTGTGCGTGTGATACTAAAATCTTGAAGGACAGACAACACATTTTTCTTCTGTCTAGTCCTTACAGCACCTTCCATAGTCTAGGCCAGCAGTTCTCAACACCATCAGACTTAACACCCCTTTTATAACTAGTATTTTATGATGTCCTTTTTATGATCTTAAAATTAAATTCACAAATACGTTTTTTAAAAAGCCCATATTGTATTAGTTGGGTTCCCCTCATTGCTAAAACAAATATACCCTAATATATTTAATAACTTAAACACAATAAAAGTTTATTTCCAGCTCTCATGATAGGACTGGGCAGATAAGTAATGGGCAGGGAGTTGAAACAGATATGGAGGCGTGCACCGGGGAGATTTCCGTGGGCCAGGCCTGGAAGTGGCATGTACCACTTCTGCTCAGGGGCCATTGGCTGGGACTCAAGCACATGACCACACCTGTCTGCAAGGGTGGATGGGAAATAGAGTCTAGTTGGGAAACCAGGAGAGAGAGTGGAACGTGGACTTTGGTGAGCATCTAGCAGTTTCTGCCACAAATATAATGCCTTGTTATAAAAGAGAAATAAAAGAATTTACAATAAAACAATATGATTTTCATTATGTAAACCCTTAGGATAGTCACACTGGAAGACATGAGTCAAATGCTTTCACTCATAAGGAGAATGATGTGAATGTGAAGGCCTTAAGTGCAGTATAAGAGTGGCCTGTTGTATTCGTGACTAACATATCCTTCCCTATTTTACTATTACTATCCAACAGTGTTTTTTTTTGTTTTTTTTTGTTTTGTTTTTACTAGTAATGAGAGTTCCTGAAATAGTGAAAAACACTTAGTAAAATTCTGAACAAGGCACAATCTTCCTTTTTATGCAGCTGACATGTTACGGGAAAATCTGGTGCATATTAGAACTCTGCAACAAATGCTTTGTATTTATATGTAAAATCAAATTGGGCTCTAGGCTCACATACTTATAAAGATTTTTTTTTTTTTTTTTTTTGCCTCCAGGAATATCAAATGGGGCACTAGTAGGCCTTGAGGGATGAGGGAGAATCCTTCATTGTGCAAAACTTTTCTGGATATTGCAGGATGTCTAGCGACCCCAGCACTCTTGCTAAATGCCAGTAGTACCCTCCCCACATACACAAATCACTGTGACAACCACATACACCTCCACAATTTTCCAAAGCATTCCCATGGAGTCATACTGCTTCCACTGAGAACCACTGGTCTTACTCAATAAATGCCTGACAATTCACTCTTGGGTACTTGAAGAAAAGGATAAACAAACTGATTCACTAATCCTGGCATCTTGCTATAAAGCAAAGAATATGAACATATTTGGAATGCCAGCCTTGTGCTATGCTGGGTGATTTTACATAACTATCTCATTTAATCCTCATAATGATCTTGCAAGATATTATAAACTTGAAGGACAGACCACACATCTTCATAATGAATGAAATGGGGGTCTTGGAGGTGAAGTAGCATGTCTGTAATTACATGGTGGGTAAGTGTGTGGGAAGCTGGGATTGAAATCTGGGTCTGACTCCAGAATCCATGGTAAATTTCCACCATTATTAGGATGACCATATGTCTCCATTTAAGTCTACTGTCCTGGAGTAATGATTATTAGCACTCCCTTTCAATCTCAAAGAGTCCCAGTGTGGAGAGTAAATTACATGGCCACCGTAAATATTATATGCTGCTATTGTCATCATTATTTATTGCACAGGAAGGTCAAGAGAGAGGGGAAAAAAGCAATATTATTCTTTCTCAGACATCAGTGGATGACTGAGGAGGCAGAATGGGTTTTCTCTTCCCCATTTATCACCTGTGCACTTCTCAAATCATCCATGGAGATTTGTATCTGTTTATCTTCTGGAAAAAAAAAATTTAAACAGTAGGAAAATAAACACTTTCTAGATATTCGATCTTTTACTATCAAACAGGGTGTTGTCCTTTACCTGCAAATAAGCTATGCTGTCTCCTAAGAAAGACTAAGTACTCTTAAATCTGAGAAACAGCTGAAGATCGCGTAGGAAGCTGAACTGAGACACGCTGAGCAAGGTGATGCATTGATGCTTGCTTGCTTGCTTGCTTTTGATGAGCTGGTCACATTCTTGAGGTTAGGAAGAAATCCTCCCTTTAGATATTTAAGTTAGAAGCCTATTTCTATCAGCTTCTGGTTCTGACGGTTTTCAAACAATTGCTTTAAACAAGTCACAGTTTTAGACATGTCACATGCACACGTTCAGGCTCAGAGTTAAGGGAAAGTACCAGAAAAAATTCACAGGGTAATTTCAACACCCAAATGCTGTCTCTGCCACCTCTCCCATCTCATTCCTGTCAATGACTCTCTCCCTCCACTCTGCCTACTATCCCCCCACCTTTTGTTTCAGCTCCTTGTGGCATTTGGTGTTTCCCCTCCCAATCTGCAGGCAGGGTCAGCACTGGTGAGGAAAAGTGGGTCAGATTGCCCTCTGTCTCCTGGTGCTGAGCACTCCTATGTTGGTTCAAACACAGAACCAACTGAAACTCACTCAGGCCTTCCCCAGCTGCCATCAGCCACTACCCTAGTGGTGGTCTGAGGGATTTCTTGAAAAGAAAGTAACCTAGTGATCAGCTGCCTTTCTTGGTTTCCCACCAGGAGCTCTAATAGAAAGAGTCCTGGTGGAGATGCTGAGCCTGACCTCACTGGGGGCCTATTGGAAGATGTGTCTTAGACCCTGGTGGCGCAGGGCAGAGAGGGAGCTTCCAAGCTCTTCCTGGTTTATCCATGCACCATTGCCAAGCTTGGGGAGGATGCTTAACAAAGAGCACGGCATTCCATTGAAGACACTTAATAAAATTATAAAATTTAAAAAATAATAATGGTTGAATTGGGCTTAAGTAATACCATCCTGTTGTAGTTGTTTCCTTCAGCTTCAGTTGTATTTGGAAAAAAAAAAGAAATCATTTCAGAACTGATACAAATTATTAAAATTTCCCCCTCTTCAAGTCTCCATAGCCAAGTAGAAGGTGTGGAGACTGTCAAAAGACGTCTGAAACCTTAAAGGATAAGTACAAAATAATCCCTCTAAGTGTGAATATTGATCACTTTTGTTGTATAAAGACAGATTGTTCTGCTGAGACCACAGGAAATACACTCCATAAATGCTGTCTTTTCTCCCTCCCACATCCATGGCAGACTCTATTAATTGATCACCTACTCTTTCTGGCTAATTCTTAATAGAATATTTCAGGGAGAAACTGATGAAAGTTGGCAAGGGAGATGAGAGCTGTTTGTCTTTCTGACCTAGAGTAAGCCCACAACGAGGTAGACATTCCCAGAATTTATCACCCAAGGAAGTTATAGTATTTGATATAGGAATTTGGAATCTTGGAGAATGGACCTTAGACCACCATGAGAAGGATCTCCTAATTTTCTCTCACCCCATCAGTCTGTCTTGAGAAGTCTAGCTGTGCTGGAATACTACCAGCTGGGAAGGGATTGATGTGGAGATATGCCAGGTGGTAGGCAGGGAGGCCCTGGAGAGGAACGCAAGCTCAAGATGAGTACTTTACATTTTGGAAGCCAGATTACTTACAAGTAGCACTTTGGGTCTGCTTTCTCTGCTGATATCCTGGAGCCTTAAGCAAAGTCGATCTATTCATTCATTCAACAAACAATTATTGGGCATCTATCCTGTGGCAGTCACTGAGCTGTGATCTAGAATAAGAGGATGAATGACACAGATACAATCTGAGGATGATAAACCAATTACAGCTATTTTTTATCTTGGTGGTAAGGGCTTTGAGTGGCAAAACATGGACAGAAATGCTGAGGTGACACAGCAGGGGATCCCAGTGTTCTAGTTAAAAGGTATCTGTTCTCCAACGTGATTTCACTGGATGGACTGGACACAGAGAGAAGAATTATGGGCAGGGCTTGGGCAGGAAGATTAAAGAGGTAGCTACTCCCCCAAGAGTTGGGGCCATGAGATCCAGGCACCTTATTCACATAAAGGCTCTTTTCTTTCACTGCCAACTTTGGAGGATCAGGGTTTGATTTTTTTATAGGGGATCATGGAAGCTAAAACTTTGGCAAAGAGCAATTTGTGATCTGCTATTGTGTTTTTCTATTCCCTTCCACAGGTGATTCCTAGAAGTCTCCATTTTGAAGTTCTCTTGTCCTTTGACCAAGCATCCAGCACATCCTCACAACATTCCAAAGCCACCTTGAAGACTCTCTTCAAAGCAATTCTTACTGTTGATACCACCACCATTGTTCCTGACACATGAAGCAGGAGGACCCAAGGCCAGAGGTCATGGCGGAGAGATGAGCAGATAGTCCTCAAAGGCAGACAGGGCTGGGGTTGAAGAGGAATTCCCTAATAGCTGTTATAAATGGAGATATGACAGGTGTGAACAAACAACCTAGGACTGGAAGAAAGAAGAGGGAGGAGTCAGGTAGAAATAGTACTGAGAGTGGATGCCTGGGCTGTGTAGTGACATAAAGGGGCTTAAAGAGGGCTTAGGGAGCAGATCTGAGAGGAAGAGAATGAAGGAAGGTAAAGAATTCAGTCTTTGGCATTCCGATATGTAGTGAGGGCTGGGGGTGGTGACAGACTAGATTTAGGAAGTCTGAGGGTTGGGTGTTGGTTTGTGTTCTTGAAATTACTTCCTCAGGATTTCACATCTAACCAAATATTAACAATCATTTACTAAATAAATATTGTTCCATCCCTGGATGGGCAGACGGGAGTGTTATGCCTGCCTCTCCCCATCCCGTACCAAAAAATTAACAAAGACAGTTCAATTCATGACCCCAAGGCTGTCACAATCCAGACTAAGGAGTGCCCTGAGAGCCTAGCGGGATCATCTTGGTGCACACTCAGTAGCCAGGGGATCTGAGTGGCCAAGGAACCCCCAGAACTCCTGCCTTCTATAAGTCCAAGGCTGAGCATAGCAAAGTATGGAGAGGGAAGAGTCTTCTAACATTGAAGTAAGAAGGAGCAGACTTTTCAGCAAGAAGAAAAGTCCCAGAAATTCAGATAAGATTACAAACAAATTATAAAGCAATAGGCTGGCTGAAACAATAATATTCAAATTAGTTCAATTCAGCAAGTACATATGAGTGCTCCTGTGTGCCCATCCTGGGCTAGTCTACTTGAGGGAATGGACACAGGAGAAACGAACAGGGTGTAAAGGGGAGGTAGTTCTTCAGGCACAAAGCTCTGCAGATGGCTGCCTCTCCACTGGGAAACCCATGACAATTCACACAAGATCTCTCCCAAGACCTCTCAAAGCAATTATTTTAAGACCTCAGTCCCTGCCCCCAAGCAGCCAGGAGTCTGTTTCACTGGTATCAGATCAAGCAGACCCTTCCTGAAACTTTTGTAGAGAAATGGAAGTGATTTGGTTAAAACAGGGAATTTTGGCCGGGCGCAGTGGCTGACACCTGTAATCCTAGCACTTTGGGAGACCCAGGCGGGCAGATTGCCTGGGCTCAGGAGTTCGAGACCAGCCTGAGCAACATGGCGAAACTCTATCTCTACTAAAAATACAATAATGAAAAAATTAGCCAAGCTTGGTAGCATGCGCCTGTAATCCCAACTACTTGGGTGGCTGAGGCTTGGGAATTGCTTGTACCTGGGAGACGGAAGTTGCAGTCAGCCGAGATCATGTCACTGCACTCCAGCCCGGGCAACACAGCAAGACTGTCTCCAAAACAAACAAACAAACAAACAACACAAGGAATTTCAAAGATGAAAGCAAGAGCAAAGATGGAGAATGGGTTGGAGGTCGAAAAAACACAGAAGTAAGAAGTAGAGGCTAGTGAGGAGACCATGAATACTTTAGGCTGAGTTGATGGCAGCAAGTAGAGCCAAGGGACAGGGAGAATGAAGACATAGTCTCTACTGACTGGATGTAGAAGAAATGAAAAAGCAGAGTCTAAGATGACCTTTAGTAGGAGTGGTACAAGGGTGAATGAGGAAAGTCAGTAGCTCAGAAGAGAAGCATTTGAAGAAGGAAGACAATGAGTTCAGTAATTCAAGACTCGATCTTTTCTTTCCTGAACTCTTCCTGTGGTATCCCTGTTGGGTTCCCCTCTCCAGGATTTGTTCTCCAGTCCACCCTTTGCACTGAGTTTCTAAAAGGCAGTCTTTACTGGATCATTCTCTGCATCCAGCCTCACAGTAGTTGCCACCACCTTGAGGTGAAAGGCCAAGGTCCAGAGCATGGCACACAAGCTCTTGGAGCTCTGCCTTACCTGTATCTTAGCCTCATATCCTGCCATTCTCCTTCTTGGGCTCAACATTCCTGCCATCCTGAAACAGTTGCATTGAAAAAGAAAGCCAGTTTCATGTGTCAGTACTTCTGTACTTGTTAACCTCACCCTGAAAATGTATTCCTACATTTCCTAGTTGAACTTCTCACCATCCTGTATCAGGTGGCTAAAAACCCAAGCAAAGCATTCCCTGATGGTCCTCTCCACTCTCCAAAGGAAGGTTTGTTCCAGGAATGCAAGTCTGATTCAATATATGAAAATTACTCGATGTAATCTTCCATACTAATGGCTAAAGGAGAAAAATCACATAGTCTTATCAACTGATATAGAAAAAGCATTTTAAAAAATTTAACATGTATTCATGATAAAAACTCTTAGAAAAAAATGAATTAGAGGGTAACTTCCTCAACTTGATAAAGAGTGTCTACCAAAAGGCTCGAGATAATATTATTTTTAATGGTGAAGGACTGAATGCTTTCTCCATAAGATCTAGAACAAGACAATGATGTCTGCTCTCACCACTCTTATTCAACATAGTACAAGTAGTTCTGGCCAATTTCAAAAGGCACGAAAAGAATAATAAAAAAAAAAAAGCATGCAGATGAGAAAGGAAGAAATAAAACTGTCCCTATTTGCAGACGAAATGATTGTCTAGGTAGAAAATTCCATGAAATCTATAAAACAACAACCTCCTAGAACTAATAAGTGAGTTCCTCAAGGTTGCAAAATGTAATACAAACATACAAAAGCCAATTTCATTTTGGCATCCATAACAGATGGAAGTTATAGTACTTGACACAGGAATTTGGAATCTTAGAAAATGGATCTTAGACCACCATGAGAGGGATCTTCTAGTTCTCCCTCACCCCATCAGTCTGTCTTGAGAAGTCTAGCTATGCTGGAATACTACCAGCTAGGAAGGTAGTATCTGGTGTCCATAACAGATAGACACCAAAATAAAAAATAAATGCCATTTACAGTTGCTAAAAAACAAAACAAAACAAAACAAAAAAACAAGTATAAATCTAACAAAACATGTGCAGGACTTCAACTGTACGTTTTGTAGTGGAAAACTACAAAACAATGATGAAATAAACCAAAGAAGATCTAAATAAATGGAAAGACATTGTGTGTTTGTGGATTAGAAGATTCAACACAATAAAGAAGTCAATTCTTTGCAAATTTACATGGAAGTTTAATGCAATTCCTATCAGAATCCCAGCAAGATTTTTGTAGATATAGACACGATTATTCTAAACCTTATATGAAAATGCAAAGGAACCAGAATAGCTAAAATAACTTTGTAAAAGAATAATAAAGTGGGAGGAATCAGTCTACCTGATTTCAAGATTTATTATAGAGCTGTGGTATTTACAGAGTGACAGACACATAGATCGATGAAACAAATAGAGAGCCTAGAAACAGACCCACAAAATACGCCCAACCAAAAGGTACAAAAGCAATTCAGTGGAGGAAAGATAACCTTTTCAATGAAGCTCAACTTAAATCTCATATATTTAAAGAATTAACTCAAAAATAGATCACAAGCTTAAATGTAAAACTATAAAACTTTTAGAAAACAAAACCCAGGAGAAAATCATGGGGATCTGGGGCTAGGCAAAAAGTTCTTAGATTTGCCATCAAAAGTCTGACCCATAAAAGAAAATAATAATGATTGGATTTCATCAAAATTTAAAACTTTTGCTGTGTAAAATGCCCTATTATGAGAGTGAAAAGACAAGCTTCAGAGAGCAAGAAAACATTTACAAGTCACATATCTGACAAAGGATTAGTAGCTAGATATATAAAGATCTCTCAAAACCCAACACTAAAAAATAAAACAAAAGCAATACAATCAGAAAATGTGAAAAAGACATGAAGAAACACCTTACTGAAGAGGATATATGGATGGCAAATATGCATTTGAAAATATGTTCAACATCATTAGTCATTAGGAAATGTGAATTAAAATCACAATGAAATGTCACTATGCAACAGAAAGGCTAAAATAAGAAATAGTGACAACACCAAATGCTGGTGTGGATGTGTATAAATTGCATCTCTCCTATGACTGTATCTCTTCCCTACCTCTCCTATATTTTTGTGTAAACATGTTGCCATTTCTCTGGATAAATACTCCTAGGTATTTATCACACAAGTGTTCATAGCTGTTTTTCTGGTAGTCGCCCAAATACTGTAAACAACCCAGATGTCCTTCAATAGGTGATAGCTAAACGCACTATGGTGCATCCATTGGTAAAAAATATCAGCAATAAAAAGAAATGAACTTCTGATGTGCACAACAAATTGGATGAAGCTTCAGGAAATTATGCAGAGTGAAAAAAGCCAATTCCAAAATGTTACATACTTGATTACAGCATTTATAGAACATTCTTGAAATGACAAAATTATAGACATGGAGAATGGAGGAGGGGTTGCCAGGGGTTGAGATGGGTGTTGGAAGGAGGAGATGCAGTCGATAAGGTGATGTGGCTATAAAAGGATAATAGCAGGGCTATTTGTGGTGATGATATTGTTCTGTATCTTGTTAGTATCCTGGTCTGACATCATACTATAGTTTTTCAAGATGTTACCATTGGTTGACAATGGGTAAAGGGTACACTGGATTTATCTGTATTGTTTCTTACTACTGCATGTGCATCTACAGTGATCTCAAAATTAAAAGTTGAATTTAAAAAATAAAGCACAAACCACACTCACGTATTATCTCATAGTCAGAGGCCCAGGCCCAGCATAACTGGGTCCTCTACTTAGGTCCCAGCTGTCTGAGACCAAGGTGACTGCCAGGGCTGCCTTCTCATCTGAGGTTTGGGGTCCTCTTTCGTGCTTAATCAGGCTGTTGATGGAATTCAGTTCCTTGTGGCTGTGGGACTGAATTCCCCATTTTCTCACTGTCAACCACAGACCATTCCAGAGACCAACAGCTGCTTCTTGCCACGTGGCTCTTCAATATCCCTTCTCATACTTTGAGTTTCACTTTCTAGGAGGGCCCATGCCCATTTATGAAGTTGCCTGATTAGGTAAGTCCCACTGGGATAATCTCCCTTTTGATTAACAAGTCAATAGATTAGTAACCTAACCGCGGGCACTGATACTCCATCATATTCACAGGTTCAGGAATTATGTGTGAGGTGTGTACACCAGACGGTGAGAATTCTCAGGACTGCCTTAGAATTCTGCCTCCCACAGACCATCTTAGCCCCAGCATTCTCTGTGGGAGAGGCAGAAGTCTTTGATGGGACTGCACCACAGTGCAATTCTTCTCTCTGCCCATTCCTATTGTTACCAAACAATCAATGGGCTCACTTCCCAATGCACATAAAAGCCAATACCATGCACTGGATTTTGAGAAAAGAAAGGCTTTATTTCTAGCCAATTGTCAAGGAAACAGGAGGAAATGCTCCAATCTGTCTTCCTGAGCTGGGGACTGGGTCAGGCTTTATAGACATATGGTGATGAGCCATGACCTGATTGAGTCTTTCAATGAAGTGCTGCCGGGAAGGCATGATCTGACTAGATCCTGCCATGAGGTAACACCAGAGCTCCATCTGATTGGATTCCATATCCTGCCATTCAGGGTCTGCTTCTTCATTCAG